ATACACACACACACACACAAAAGGGCAGCCCGGTGCACATTGGCATCCCCGCGAGGTGAGGTCCGGGGAAGGGTCCCACCACACACACACACATAACTATAAAATTAAAATATATATCTTAAAAGTATACCAAACAATTATAAGGTAGTTCTGTAAATGTGTCAAAATTATAATAATAATAATAATAATAATAATAATAATAATAATAATAATAATAATAAATAAATAAATAAATAAATAAATAAATAAAATTATAAATTACAAATTTTGGTACAATTCAGGAGTTCATTTCTTATATCTATAATGTACACGTCCTAAAAGTACAAGGTATATGATAATATACAAATTTGAATTTTAAACCTTGATTAATGAACAAATCACACACACAAATGATGAGTTTGAAATTTTGAAGGTACAGGTCTTAAGAGTATATAAAAATTAATTAAGTTACATGTTTGAAATTCAAACCCTAGTTATTTAACAAAACACATGGACCAAAAGTATGCTATTAGTAAGAGACCCTTAAAAATAACATAAACCTAACCTAATAGACTAGTATAACTAGTGATTCATAAAGTACAACTCCTGATAAGGGTTTGAAATCTTTGAATGTATCTAATCTTGTTAGAAAACCTACCTGAGAATATATCTTCACTGATATTTATAACACGAGAAGCCTTGCTTATACCATCACGTGTTATATTATCGAAAACATCTGGGTGTCCATAATGGCATAATGCAAGATATTTGGCACCAGCTCATCAGTACTAAATAGAAGTGTAAAACCATAAACAAATTCCCTTCTAAAAACAGCTTACTTCAGCGGATTAGACATGAAGGAAGCCAAAGAAGAAACACTGCATAACAATGGCAAAAATGGTCGAATGAAAATCAGTATAATTTTAAGGAAAATTTTCAAAAAACAACCCAAAAATGTGTTGAATTTCTAACTAACCACCCAAAAATAATTTATTTTAAAAATACCACCCATTAAATTAATTTTTTGCTCAGATTCCCACCCAATTTGAAAATCCGGTGGTTTTTTAGCTTGTGGGGCCCACATAACGGCTATTAACGGCTAGTGTATGCTTTTATTTATTTTCTTCCCCCGATTTTTCCTATACAAGTGTATTCCTTATTCAATTTTTGCTCCTAAACAAAATTTTTCCCCAAATTACACAAAATTAAGATTGCTTCTAATTGCATTTGCATCTGCAGCAACGACATCACTTGAATTCGCACAAGGTAATCTCAATTATCTGGAAAAATTAGGGTTCTTGCAAAATGTTAATTGGGGGAATTTGTGGGATTCATTAATTAGGGTTCCACATAATTGCAAATATACCATCAACAACCAACAACCTTCAACATTAAACACAAACAACAAAATTGCTTACCTCTTTCGACGCCATTGCACTGAGCTATTGTCAGGTTCCTCACCTGAGCTCCTGGTCCCCGGTAAACAGCAAAAGATGGCGACTTTTTTGCAATTAAACAACCCCACTTCAAGCAATTACTCTAGATTAATTCCTGTTGCAAGTACAATTAGGGTTTTAATGTCGAATTTAGGGTTCTGAATTGAACAATGCACAGCAATTTATGAAGAAAGGGGGAATTCGCTGAAAAAAGGAGTGAAATTTGATTGTAGAATAGGGTTAGTTGGGAGAATTGAATGAGAAAGAGAGTGAAAGACAGTGAAGTCGAGAGAAAAGGGAAAAAAAAAAAGAGGGAAATAACTAAACTGGGCCCCTTAAGCTAAAAAAAACCACCGGATTTTCAAATTGGGTGGGAATCTGAGCAAAAAATTAATTTAATGGGTGGTATTTTAAAATAAATTTTTTTTTGGGTGGTTAGTTAGAAATTCAACACATTTTTGGGTGGTTTTTTGAAAATTTTCCTAATTTTAAACAAGAAAAACTATGGAGTTTGGTGCGTGGGAATTGCAGACCAAGAGGACAGTGGTGGACCTAGAAATTTGACAATGGGGGGACAATTTCGATAATTCAACTAACATCAACCTATTTAAAAAAAACGGGTACACAATACAAGTAATTTGGGTTTGGTTGGGAAATAGGAATAAGGGAGTAGTCGAGTGGTATGGTTGAAATAAAACACCCCCCAAAAAAAAGGAGTGATGTTACAAGGGGGATTCGAATGCCATATTATCTTGTGATGTTAATTTCTTAGCAAATATTTTAGTCTTGCTATTTTGTGATGTTAATCATAAAATAGCAAGACTAAAATGGGTTCTTAGTCACATCACTCCAATTCCAGCTGAAGGGGACCCTTCATTTGAAGACATGCAACAATGGATACACATTGATGAGAAGTGGTTTTTTATAAACCCAGAAACAAGGACATTCTATCTTCTTCCAACAGAAGACAATCCATACAGAGCACAACAGTCCAGAAGGTTTAAGGTGAAGGCTATGTTTATGGGCATGATAGGGAAACCATTGTATGATGCAAATAAACAACTTTTACATGATGGGAAGTATGGTCTATTCCCTTTTATGAAGTATGAGGAAGCAAAGAAAAAGAGTAAAAACAGAGACAAAGCCAGGGGACCATAGAGGCTAAGGCAATCCAGAGTATAAACAAGGAGGAAATAAGGGACATGCTAGTTAATCATGTGTTGCCCACAATACATGCACAATGGCCCCCACAGCTGCCCAAGGACATAACTATTCAATGGGACAATGCTAGGCCTCACCAAATACCACAAGATCCAGAATTTCAAGTAGCATGTCAAGCATATGGATTCAACATACAGTTTGTTTTTCAACCAGCTCAATCACCAGATATGAATGTTCTAGACTAAGGACTCTTCAATGTCATTCAATCACTGCAGTATCAGTCATTCCCTCAGAATTTAGATGATCTTATCAAAGAAGTTGAAATAGCATTCAAAGGATTTGATCCAGAGTTGAACAAATACAGTTGGATTACACTACAGTCATGCATGATTGAGGTATTAACAAGAAAAGGAGGAAACAACTACACACCATCACACATGAAAAAAAGAAGTCTATACAGGCAAGGTATTCTACCAGATTTGCTAGAGGTAGACAAGGAACTAATTGCAGAAGTTGTTAACTATCTTAATTCAATCACAATCCCAAGTACTGGTGCAAATGAATTCCAAATGGAAGTTGATGCAGATTGAAGAATACATGGAAGCAAACTCATACCAGCTAAGGCAAAGACTGCCACACATAACCAGTACAATCTTAACATGTTTTTTTGTTGTTTTTGTTGGTATTGGTTAGGTGTATTTTGGTACATAATTAAGTTACACATTCTTAGACAGTCTTGTATGCTACTTAAGTTTGGTTTTGTAAAAAACACAACCTTTTGTTATTAATGCAAACATAACCTTTTTTTCTCACTAATCATCCATCAGAAAGGGTTACAGTTATCTTTCAAGGCATCAATGAGTTATGGTACCTCAATAGAAACCTCAAACAGAGGTAACTAGAGCAGCCATGACACTCAAATAGCTATCAGATGAGTCCCTTCATCATTTGGATGGGTTTCAATACGATGCAAGTTGTGTGGAGGGGACTCAATGCATCACACAAAGGGGACTCGTCAACAAAATCATACCAGCATTCCACCAACGCACCAGCACAACTAATCAAGTCAACCAATAGACCAATTCATATCCAAACAACAATTCATACCCAAACAACCAACAATTCATACCCAAACAACAAATCCAAACATAACAGGGGACTCATCAATTCATACCCAAACAACCAACACTAGCAGAAATAGCATAACAAAAAACAAGGGTCTCATCAATAGCATAATTAACCACAAATTGGAACAAAAGAAGAAGATTAGGGTATTAGAAATTACGCTGCCCAATTAGTATGGGGGAAGGGACTACTGGGGGTAGTAGATTTGGAGGTAAGCCACCAGTACGTCATCTGGATCCTGTCCCCTTGGTAAGCCGGATCTCAGGCGCTTAGTACCAGCGCTAGGGCCAGACGTACTCCCACCCATCATGGGATGGGAACCGGTGGCTGAAGGACTTCCCCAGCAGTCAGCTCCTGGAACAAAGAAGACCAAGTTTCAGAATTGGCGTCTAGTGGTGGTGAAGCAGCTGGAACAGCCACCACAGCAGCAGATCCACCCTCTTTGGTGGAAACAACCTCCCGATCTAGGCCGAGAGATGGCGGAACAGGCCTTTTAGACCCAGAACACTTTGTCGGCTTCTCATCCTCGTCGCTTGAGATGTATTCAGCAAGCTTCGCCCCTACAATCTTTCTACGAGCAATTACAGAAGCACGACGGAGTGGCTTCATCACACCAGAACCACGACGAGGTATACACGTGGTAGCACCAGGTTTAGGTGGGGATCGTGTGGATCCAGAAGAAAGGGACTCATGGCTTACCAGATCTATAATTTTTGGTTGAGAAGAAGACATTTTAAGGGTGAATTAAGGTGAATCGTAGTTGAAAACCTAGAAAACGAAGAGAGAGAAAGAGGAAAAAACCCAGAATTTTTGAGGAGAAAGAGGAGGCGAAGAGGAGAGAGAGTAAGAGAGTGACAAATTTAAAAAGGTAGGGTTTGGGGAGGTGGGGTTTCTGGAAAAAAATTCCAGAATTTAATTGACTCAACCATTTTTAATCTGAATTGAATGCAGATTCAATGAAGGTAGTTGAGTGATGAAGGAATTTAAAGGAGAATGGGTAAATTTGGTGGGAATAGTTAGGTTAATTAATTAAAACATAAAACTAAGGGTTCGTTTGGCATCGCTGTGGTTTTCTGTTTTTTTGGTTTTTTTTGTATTTTAAAAGTATATTATATATGTCACATAATGAATCAAAAAATATTTAGACTTATTAAAATCATGATAATTTTGAAAACTGACAACAGAAAAGTGGAAACACCTTTTTCTTATTTCCTGTTTTTGGTTTTTAGTTTAAAAAAAAAACAGGAAACTGAAAACTAAAAATGATGTCAAACAAACCCTAAGCAAATGAAATTAGGAGTGTTAATAAGATAGATTAGGAAAAAAGTAAGGGCATATATGTCATTTTACAACCCAAAAGTTACCAAATAAGGGAAAACAAAAAATTTGTTGTAGGTAATTTGAACCACCCAAAATGAAAATTGTTGCAAGTAAAATGAACCGGAGGTAGTATATAATAATTAAAGAAAAAAGAAAAATCAGACTTCATCTCCGTTCTCTCTCATCATCGTACACACTCGAACTTACAAAGTACAAACCCTAATTAGCAAAAACTCACCCTTTCATTAAATCTCCCAAATTCCGATTCCAATTCCAATTCGAAACTTCTTTTCCCCCAAATCACTCTTCAAAACCCTACATTTTCGTTTTTCAATCGAAATTTCGAATCGAACTCAAAAAAAAAGCAATCGGAATCCTATTCAAATTTGAGGTAATAGATCGAATGATGGGTAACACTAGCGAAAACACAGAATCACAAAAATTTCGATTGTATGGGAAGACGAAAATGCCAGAGCTTCAACGTGGAAATTCAGTCAAAACGACGACGAATAAGAAGCAGAAGAATATCGTTGATAATAATCAGAAGAAATCGACTCATTTGGTTGGTAACTACATTCGAACTCGCGCAGCTGTTGCGAGAGAAGCAGAAGCAGTAGCAGTAGTTGGTGTTGTTGAAGAGGAGAGAGAAAAAGTTGTTAAGGATCCTCCGAGAACTAGGTTAGCTGTGAAAAAGGGCAAATTTAAGGAACAAACAACAAACAACAACAAAAGGGTAATCAATAATACTAAGAATAATAGTGGAAAGAAGAAGAAGGTTGTTGATAAGGTTGTACCAGTGGTTGTGATATCGGAGAAGGAAAGTGAGTTAAACGAGAGAGAATCAGAAGTCAGAGAAGAAATGTTGGGAGATGATAGTGGTGGTTTAAGTGCTAATAATAAGGGAACTGGACATGATGATGATGGAAATAAATCCCCTTTTCCTGAAAGGGTAATCTTTTTTAAAACGAATTTCATTTGATTTTGTTAAATGAGTTGATTTTGAATAATGATTTTGTGGTTTTTTGATTGATATATGTTGATTTGAATTGAATTTGTGAATCGAGTCGATTTTATATGAATGATGGTGTGATTTTTTGATCGATGTTTTTGGTTTTGCTGTTGTTTTTGTAGGTTCAAGTGGGTGCTTTTCCTATTTATAAAGTAGAAAGGAAGAAAGGTGGGTTTGGTCAGGTGTTTGTTGGCCGTCTTGTTAACGGTGGGAATGAACGCGCCACCGGGTCTGGGGCTTTGGAGGTATGTATCATGTTAATGGTGTTTTGGAATATCTGTATTTTTTGGCATGTTTATTGTTATTCATGTTGATCAATTTTGGGTTTGTTTTGGATGCACAATGAATACTTTGGCAAAATGGAAAGTGCTTTCTTTTATAAACATTATCTGCTCAATTTGAGTTCTTTTTGTATTTAAGAATAAAAGTAATATCAAGGTTGATTTCAATTGTATGGGAATATCTTGACTTTTTGTATTATAACAATAAGCTACTGAATCACATGATTAATATTTAGCTTCAACTGGGTGGTTCTAGAACAATTGAATTAATATTAGCAAAAGCATCTACAGGCCCGTCCCTGAGGCCGGGCAGGAGGGGCCTAAATTGTTCATATATCCTGGTGAATTTAGGCCGCATATGAGTATTAATCCTAATATTATTAAAAAGTAAAATTATAACACAATATGAAACTAGGCATGCATATGAGTATGTGGCAACGGCAATATACAACCACCATATCCAACCATGTAATGTAATTAAACTAACATTATATCATAGAATGAATCGATGATTGAATGGGTGAATTTATCAAAATTTTCAGGTTTCAGGAAAATATCCAACACTTGCTCCTTGCAGCAAGAGGCCGAGTTGGTCTTGGTCTATTCCCAGAGAAATTATGTTTCACATCTTTTTATTTCTTCGTGCTTCACTTCTTCAGGAGATTGTGAGGTTCGTTTGCAAGGAGTGGAATGCTATAATCTCTGACCCGCACTTTATTAGAGCCCACCTTCTTCAGTCCATGTCATCTCCTGCTACTACTGGTTTCCTTATTCAAGACAATGACCTGGATGATGCTAAGCTAAAACAGGCCTATTATGTTCACCCATATGATCGTGTTGTCAGTATACTTAAGCTTCCATTTGAGGCCTTCATTTTGGCTTCTTGTAACGGACTACTCTTGCTTCAAAATGCCTTCATTCCAAAAGAATTGTCTGTAGTGAATCTTGTAACTAAAGCCAACATCAGTCTCCCTCCCCTGTCCCTCACCCTGCCAAAGGTATGCATTTATCGTAAACCTTCTGCTGTTCTAGCATTTGCACCTTCTTCTGGTCGATACAAAGTCTTTTGTCCTTGTTTCGTCCCCAAATATCCACGTTCACCATATCGTCAACGTGAAAAAAATGATGATCATCTTGCCAGATTTGAAGTTAAGGTTATGGTATGGACAGTAGCTGTTGATGAAACTTGGAGGGCTATTGACATTGACTGTCAAGGCATTACTATGAGTAACAAGGCAAAGCAGACACTACTGAGTCATCCGTTTTCTATTGCAGCGGGGTATGTCTATTGGTTTGATATATGTCACTCTCTTGGTTTTGCCTTGGATATAGATGCTGAAACCATGTATCAATTCGAAGCGCCAGAAGATAGCGTTATCAACAGCAAGGTGAAGACTTACTGTATACCAATGGACACCGGTGGTGCAGGTATAATATATTGGCAAAACCCTAGTAAGTTTTGGAAAGTCTGGGAAATGATAGGACCAAAAACTGGCCCTTGGGGTAGATGTATGAATTTCGATGCAGCTGGTATGTATTTGGCGCTTCAGAGACATTTCAATCCCTCAAAGTTTGGAGTCGCTATACCTCTTTATATGAGCTTGAAAACTGGGGAGTTTTGGTTTTTTGGCTTTGTGGAAACCAAGCATAGCATGTCCTTTGCGTTGGTTTGTTATAATTGGAAGACGGGAAGTGTTTGGTCACCTCCCCCTAGGTGGCGAAGATATTTTGACTTCCCACATCTTCACGTAAACAGCTTGCTATCACTGAAGAATCTCTAGTTGTACGTGGAACGGCGATCACTTTGAAGAAATGAAGTGCAAGTGTTGTGTAGTTCGATGGATACATGCATGTGGATATGGAGACTCAACAAATTTGACGTTGCTGTTTAAGTTAAATATTATTCACCCCCTTCCCCCCCCCCCTCCCCCCAAAAAAAAATTAAAAAATTGTTGTTCAGGTCGCTTGGACCTAATGTTTACAATTTGATGTAGACTTGATTGACATCATCATGTAAGTTATTTGTACTTCTCTTCCCCCATTTGTTGTTACTGATCACTTTGTACTCAACAATTTAATGTATGTGGGAATTGGAGATTAGATTGATGTCTTAATGTATTTTACTGCTTTTCTCATTTCAAGAAGGCCAAAATGGAGGCATTAATAACTAGTAAGTAGAGCGACACAGAACAATTTTACACAGGTGTGCTGGTGTATAGTATGCACATGATTTAATTTCTTGGCCGGTGCTGGCTAGAATGAGTTCTTATATGTCTTCTGCCGCCCTCTATCAGTCCTGGACGATCCAATGTGTTTCAAGGAATGAATCAGTAGGTGGTTCCATTGTCCAGTTGCTGTGAAACTCACTTGGATGAAACACTCTCTTCTTCACTGTCCACAGACTTTACACCTGATTCAGATCATCGCTGCTAAGTATAAGTTCTCCTTCAGATCAGATAGTATGCTCCCAGTAGCTTATTCTTTATCAGCAGCCTGCTGCTTGCAACAGATGGGCAAAACACTAAATTGAGTCTTTCATTCGGAATGAAATTGAAGTGGATTATCTGGAGGTATTAGGGAATATAACAAGCTTTGCTGATTGAGCTACAAGCGGGTTCGCTGAAGGGAATACTTTCTGTCTTTTTATTGGACTTTGGTCAGAAAGGCAACTGGTGAACCAACTGCTCCAGGTGAATAAATATATCTAAGTGTGTTACTTTCATTGTAGTGTTTCTGCATGTTGATTGATTGGATTTGGTGATTCTTTTCTACAGATTAAAAGATGTGCGGAGATGGCTCTTAGATTGCGATATTTCAAGAAACAAGTTTTGACTCCACCAAGTCTTTCTCTTGGAATATTGAAATCAAAGTGGATTATCTGGAGGTATTTTGGGAAACCTTCTTTCTTCTTATTCATTTTTATGGCTCTACTCTTCTCTTGAATACTTGTAGCATTTGTGTTTGAAGGGAATATTACAAGCTTTGCTAATTGAGCTACTAGCGGGTTTGATTTTGTTCTTAGTTGAAACTTGCGCGAGCTAGAAGCTGTTCATTGTGATTTCTGAGATGAATTTAAGCAATGATAAGTTATAGTGCACTTATAAGGAGCTTTCTAAGTATAAACTACAGGAGGTAAGTTAATCATGATTCTATTAGCTCGTTCTTATATAAGGTTTTTTATATTTATTTTTTCTTATAAAATAGATTAAGTACCAAAATATGAGTGTAGTGGTTAAAGTGGCAGGATCATGTGTGTTACTGTGATGATCAAATTGAAGCCAAACAACATAACGTCTATTAATCCTGTAGTCTGTAGATCTAAAAGGAAGTAGTTCAAGGGGTTAGACTTTAGTATAAGAGACTTGATTATCTGATAAATGAAACTAGTATTATCATCATCATCTTATTATCCTTTGCAGCAAACTTCTGGAAAATGTTAATTATTTAATTTGCAGGATCAGGATACATAGTCTGGATCATTATTCTTGTGTTATTTTTATTGGTTAAGTCAATTTGTGTGTTTCTTTTATCCTTCAGGCTGGAGATTTCTTACATTCAGCTCAAAGTAGCGCGGTTCTAGCAAAATGAAGAGTCGTTGGACACACCTTTATTTTTGGAACAAGGTAAATTAATTTGTATCACTATTCATATGTTAATTATATTGGTTAGGTCAAATATCGAAACTTATGTGTTTTTATATGTCCGTCAGGTTGGAGAATTCTTCTATCCAGCTCAAAGAAGTGCGCCTTTTTAGTATGGAGAACTGGAACAACAAAATGCAGAGAATACTTAATTTGGTCATATGCGTTGTACTTTTCATGTCTTCTATCCTTTTTTATACCTTTTCATAAATTTCAATTAATATGTGTTTAGGACAAGTCGATTGATCCATCAAAGTCTGTGTAGCTGGGGGTTCTTTGCAGGCTTGGTACCCATAGAGAAATCTATGGCATTTGAAAGGATCTTGCTTCATGCAACTAGGGATAATGTTTTTATAAGGCAGACTAGAGTAGAGAATCCTGTGATGGATTGTTTTAGACTAACATTTGTTTTATTCATGTTCTATTGTTGATGCTTTTGGACTTACTTCTGTCTTCTTTCAGATTTTATCTAACTCAGTTCTTTGTTACTACTGACATTTCTTACAGTTCAGGAAGAAAGTAAAAGGTAAGAAGAAAATGCCGATGAAGTAGTGGAAGGTGCAGTGGGAAGTCTCTGTCTCAGCTCCGATGTACCCTCTTTACTCTTTTCAGTCAAGAAAGGTAACTTCTTGGAAGATATTTTTTGTGTTATTTATGTATTTAGTTGCATCACATTAAAAATTAGAATATGATGAATAATATATCTCATTGAAAATGAATCAAACAACTTAGCCGCCCCCTCTCTCTCCCTCCTTTCTCTGTTCTTTATTCTCTCCTAGGGTTCCAATTTCATAGCCTTTTTAAGGCAGAAATAGTCTATTTCCGCCGCTTTTCTTCTATCTTTTTTTTTTTTTTTTTTTTTTTGGTGTGTGTGTGTTTTTAATGTGTTTTGGTCCCAATAATTTGATTGGGTTGGTCCCTATTATTAGGGTTCCTCCTATATTCAAGGTCTTGTTGTTTCATCTATGGAAGAGTTTTTCTTTTCTTTTTAGGGTTTTAATAATTGGGAAATGCTCTGGATTCATTTAGAATTGGGGTTTTTCATCAACTTTTCGCTCAGAAGAATTTGTGCTCATTTTGCGAAGGAATTTTTGAAAGCTGTAAAGACATCAATTGAATACCTGCATCGATGCAAAGACATCGAAAATTACTGCCTACGTCAAGACTGAAGCAGTGGGGTATGAGTTGTGCTTTAGAAGGCTTATTAGTAATTGTTTTGACCGTAAGAGTTGTGTATTTTCTCTAATTCTATTGTTTGTAGATTTGTGTTATTATTGTAGAGATGCCGTATGGCTTATTATTAATGATAATGTTTCTTCCTCGTCAAAAAAAAAAAAAAAAAAAAAAGAATCAAATAAGAAACTACATAATGGAAAAACACAAATGTTCACTTGTTTAAATGATTGAAAGAGTATTATTAATCAATTTCACTTTGACTAGCAACAATTATTTATACAAAGAAAAATACTATAACAATTAGTATCTCGTTGAATTCACCTCATTATATAGAGATATTTAAGTATAAGGAAATTGTCCCTCGGAAAATTTGAAAAGTGAAGACATCTTTACCTTTATCTTTACTACTATAAAAGCCAATAGGGGGCGTTTCTCAATGTGCTGCCTCTCTATTCTAGAGAGAGAAGTTCCTTCTAGGGTTTCTCTCTTGGAAGGGGTTTTGTGCTTCTGATTCGAAGCTTCTTGCCTTTAGGGTGGGCTCTTTTCTCTCTTCCTCTTCTCTCCACTTCCTAATCCATTTCTTGGTTCTGCCTTTTCATCAATTGTCGCCCTTTACTTCTCCCGCCCACCTTCCCTGTCCTTTTCTCTCACTGCTGCTGGTTTTATCGGGGGGCTCGCCGGCCGAGGTCGGGTTATAGCCCTTCCTTGTGCGCCAGTGAGTCACCCACCCTAGGCCTCATCAACGTCGGTTTATTGTCGGCCGGAAGAAGCGCGATCTGAATCCATCCGTTTCGTGCGAGTCAAGGTCTAGACTTGGTTGATTGGTTTTAAGGTTGCCGGTTTTTGCAACGGGTTAGGTTTGTGCCGTTATCCTTAAGTCTGATCTGGTGCTTGTTTGGATTTCGCTGGCTTCTGACCGAGTTTTACAACTCGTGTTTTTGGGGATGTTCGTCCTTTTAATTTTATGCTTCTTTCAATGTTTAATCTTTGTTTGGTGAATAAGACCCAGTTGATGATCTCTGAGTTGTTCATAAATAATTTTCATTTTGGGTCAGTTATGGAGCCACCCACCATTGCTTCCTCTGTTGTTCGAGCGCTTCCTGCGGCAAATGTTTTAAGACGGGTCGTCCATGAGTGGACCTACGGGGCTGGCTTTATAGAGCAGTTTCCGACTAAGGACCCAAGGGCTTCGACTGTGGGTTTCCGCCTGATCTCAGTTTTGGTTCATTTGGTGGGTTTGGTATTCATGGTTGTTGTGTTGGGGAAGATGAGTTTGACTCAAGAAGATCTAATCTGTAGTGCAGTTGCTTACTCCATAATATCTACAGCGCCGTTGGTGAAGGAATTATTGAAAGATGCAATGACATCGAAGAATTCACATGGTTTCAAGATTGGAACCACCTTAATGGAGATGAGCGTGAATAGAAACAAGTTTAGGTGTTGTGGGTGTAGTTTCTGCTTCAGTTATGTTCAAATGATGATGTAGATGCCGAGATGGCTATTGTGTGAATGAAATCATCTATCCCTATCAAAAAAAAAAAATAAAATAAAAAGCCAATAGGGGGTTTAAATTGTTGATGTCTACAGTGTTGTTCCTTTTTTGCCCTTGCTGCTTCTACCTTATTACACCGTTGCCTTTCCCCCTTGCAATGGCTATTGTGTGAATTTGTATTGCAATGGCTTGTAGCAATCGCAAGTACTCCCTTTGTTCCCAAAAGTTGTTCCTGTTTGAAATCTTGTGACCAAATCTAAACGGGAACAACAAGGAGTAGAGGGAGTATATAATACTAGTCAAAATTAGCTTAGGTTCAATTGAATAGCAGTGTTCTGTTAAACTTACTCTGGAATTTTAGTACTAGTCTAGATTATTGTCCCTATGTTTGGTTGTTGAATGTCACTTGGAACACCAGACCATAAGTTTTGGTGCTCGGAATGGGTATTGGAATTTTGGATTCTGAAATTTGATTCCCTAAGGCAGTTCAAAAATGTACTACTATACAATGTACCACAAGCCAATATGCTCGTGATTGTGATTTCCGGGGTGTGGGGATAACGAATAAACGAATTATACATTTATTGAATTAGACAGCATGATCCTCCCCCTTTAAAAGGTTACTTTATGTTAGGTTTGGTTATATGTGGTGGTGCTTGTGATCTCGAGTACTGACATACCAAGTATATCTTTTTTTTTTACTTGTATCATCAATTTGATGGTGATATTTGATCTTGAGAGTTGCACCTAGATGTATACATCCCCTATATATGTTGCATAAGTTTTTATTGTATCGACAATGTGATAGTTAATCATGTTCCATGATCAAGTATACTTCTACATGTTTAATGTTTAAATACTGAATTTTAACTTCGCAGAAATCTATTGCTTCTCCTGCACGTGGCATTCTTTCCATTGATGAATCGAATGCAACTTGTGGGAAGAGACTGGCATCAATTGGCTTAGATAACACTGAGAACAATCGTCAGATGTATAGGCAGCTCTTACTGACAACTCCTGGTCTTGGCGAACACATTTCTAGTGTCATTCTGTTTGAGGAAACACTCTACCAGTCTACAACGGATGGCAAGAAATTGTCGACTGCTTACTTGATGAGAATGTCGTGCCTGTCATCAAGGTCGACAAGGTATGACAGTTTGAACGTCTTCCACATTCGATTGTTACTTGTAAATACTGATCAATGACCTCATTTTATGTCCTCACTCTTTGCATTGCAGATGTTGGTTCCTCTGCCAGGCTCAAACAATGAATCTTGGTGCCAAGGGTTAGATGGCCTGGCTTCAAGGTCTGCTGAGTATTATAATCAGGGTGCTCGATTTGCAAAATGGTAAGCCATCTCAGATCCACTAGACCTATGCCTCCATGAGATTAATGGTTGGCGATATTAAATCTTCATTTACATGTCCTGAAACGTCTTTCTGATTAAGAATATGATATTTCTCTTATTATGCAACTTTTCTGTGTTCTGCAAATGACTTATGCTTGTTTGGATGCAATAATGTAGGCGTATTCCATGTGAACCTTTTGCTTTGGCAGTTAAGGAAGCTGCTTGGGGAATCGCTCGTTATGATGCTATCTCTCAGGTTCATACTAAGCTTTCTTTGCTTTATGTTCCATTCTCCATGCTTCAGTTTGAGGTGGAAGTGGTGGCCTGGTGGGTGGTGAATTGGTGATGGTCTGATGGTATATGGTAGATGTCTTTGTTCAACCTTTTGGATCTATTATTCTATATCTGGCGTATCAACTAGCTTCAAGACTAAACAACCTACATACAAACTTTTCAACCTGTACTGAAGAATGGATCAGTTGCTTTCAGGCTGCCACTATGCTCCCTGAATTCTGCTTAAATTGAAATTAACCATCATGGACTCAATTATTATGCAAAATTGACATGGACACCATTGGAAAGGGGTTTAGGTGCCAAAGTATACAGTTAAGATGATACAGCTTAAGAAATAGTAGTTTGGCAAGTTTAGAGATGTAGAGAAATCACCAATTCTTCTTCCCACCACGCTTCCCAACTCTCCTCACCCTTAACACCAATTCCACCTCTATAAAGAAGCCAATCTGTCCAATCACTGAAGTCTTCCACAGTCCTAGACATAACAAATGGAAACATGAATTAGTATAATTAAATTAAGCAAAGTTGTTGATGTCCACAAAAGCTAGATAGCTTTTAAGTCACAAACCCCCCAACTTACTTTTGCCACTCGAAACCGGATGGATTGAACAGGTAGGGAGCAAATAGCCAAGAGAGGGCCATAAACCAACTGCTGATAGAAAGCAGAATGTAGCCTATCACACCACCATCATTATAGCCATAAGCAAGAAAAACAATCAACAAAAGCACAACTTCAAGCCTGCAATGAGAAAGCCATACAGCTCAAAGACTGTTCAAGACACTATACGAGCAACATGACAAGGAGAAAAGGATATACCCTTTGACAAAATGACTCCGGGAATAAAGCCTGTAGTTTTCGCTCAACTTTATATGCCGGACAACAAAACCCCTCCCAGTTGCTTGATACTGTTTTTCTAACAATAATGTTTTTCTATAAATGCCATCTTAAGAGTGAAGAAATTTCTAGATCAATAACCTCATCTCAAGCTTTAAAAAAACAATTCATGTCATAATGACAAATGATATAAATAAAGTTGCCTAAGTAAATACAAAACCATCAAAAGTATTATTTAAAATTAATATAAAAACACTATAATATAAAATCCAGCCAGTCACACACAGCATGATATATCTGCCAGGTAAATGTGGTATTGACACTAGTAGAATTGTCAACCTACCAGATAAAGAAAGATGTACACTGTCAGCACCGTCAACTGCAGAAAAATGAAAGGAAAAAGATAACTCAGTAACAGCAGGTTGCTGCACAACTTGACAGTAGAAGTTCAATGAGGAAAGGGCAAAAGGTCATCTGACATGGAACATTAGAATGACAGTTGGAGATTCATGAAAAGTGAGTACTAAGCCAAAATAAGTAAAGAGGCCAATAGAAACCACATAAGATGCATACATACCATAGAGCTGCAATTTACATGTCATAAACTAAAATTAAATTTATAAAGTACATATCATAAAGTTGTAAGGTACAAGTTTGAAATTTTGAACCTTGATTATGAAACAAATTATACACACACACACACACAAAAGGGCAGCCCGGTGCACATTGGCATCCCCGCGAGGTGAGGGTCCGGGGAAGGGTCCCACCACACACACACACATAACTATAAAATTAAAATATATATCTTAAAAGTATACCAAACAATTATAAGGTAGTTCTGTAAATGTGTCAAAATTATAATAATAATAATAATAATAATAATAATAATAATAATAAATAAATAAATAAATAAATAAATAAAATTATAAATTACAAATTTTGGTACAATTCAGGAGTTCATTTCTTATATCTATAATGTACACGTCCTAAAAGTACAAGGTATATGATAATATACAAATTTGAATTTTAAACCTTGATTAATGAACAAATCACACACACAAATGATGAGTTTGAAATTTTGAAGGTACAGGTCTTAAGAGTATATAAAAATTAATTAAGTTACATGTTTGAAATTCAAACCCTAGTTATTTAACAAAACACATGGACCAAAAGTATGCTATTAGTAAGAGACCCTTAAAAATAACATAAACCTAACCTAATAGACTAGTATAACTAGTGATTCATAAAGTACAACTCCTGATAAGGGTTTGAAATCTTTGAATGTATCTAATCTTGTTAGAAAACCTACCTGAGAATATATCTTCACTGATATTTATAACACGAGAAGCCTTGCTTATACCATCACGTGTTATATTATCGAAAACATCTGGGTGTCCATAATGGCATAATGCAAGATATTTGGTACCAGCTCATCAGTACTAAATACAAGTGTAAAACCATAAACAAAGTCCCTTTTAAAAACAGCTTACTTCAGCGGATTAGACATGAAGGAAGCCAAAGAAGAAACACTGCATAACAATGGCAAAAATGGTCGAATGGAGATCAGTATAATTTTAAACAAGGAAAACTATGGAGTTTGGTGCGTGGGAATTGCAGACCAAGAGGAGAAAGATGTTGTAGATAGTGGGCCACTAGATTAATCAATACTCTATACTTCTAATTTTTTTTATTTCTCGTACTACTACTAACTTCGTATTAGACTATTAGCTATACGAGTCAGACTAATTTAGTTTTATCATCTATTTATTTGTAGACGGAGGCTACTAGGTGAACGTTTCGGAGGTTACTTACCTTGAGTTTTACGCACGATCAAGGTAATTTTCAATGTCCATCATCTTTAGAATCTCGTTAGGAATTATTTGTGTGCCAACTATGTGATGAGTGTATCAGTATGATATTATGGTATTATATTTTTAATACTGTTATATTTTGTGTACTAGTATAAGTATTTTCGAAAATTTAATGATATCGTATGAGTTTGTAGAATAATTAAAATCTTGGAAATTGAATGACTGATTATATGTATTTGATGGCCTCCAATTAATAATTAATATGTCATGCAGAATGACTCTGTTCTAACAATATTGAAATCGAAAATATTGCTACCTAGGATTAAATTAATTTTTGCAATACTTGTGTGCAATGTGAATGGGGAATTTAATCTATTAAAATGTACATTAAATTTAAGAAGGGAGATGAAACCCAAAAGGGTGAAGAACAGGTTGCCCACTAGTAGTTGTGGTTGCTACTAGTTGGTTTAAATTAACGTATATTGTTGTTTAGTCTTCCTCCTAATCAATGGGTATTAGTGAGGGGTGTGCACACTAGGGACATTCTGTTTTATTTATGGCCATTTAGGGTTACGTGTGACCCTCTGTAAAGTAGGTGGTGACAGGGACTAGTCTCGGCTTACTGGCGTTCTCTTTCCCTTTCTTAACTAAAGTAATAAATTGTTATGTGACAATTTAATTTTGGCTTAGTATTATAATGTCGATGAAACTGTGTTGTGTAAAATGTTTTTCGAACTAAAATTATTTATTTTACGGGATGGA